TCCAAACTATCATCAAAATATCAACTTTTCATGAATTGAGAGTACTGATGTACTTAATTTCAATTAAGGCTATGTTTTGGACCATATTTAGCACAATTTATTTTTTATCTCGAAAACAGATAGAGATAGTTATAGGATATTATCAACAAAAAAGTATTAAAATACCAGAGCGATTCCAAAAATGTAATAATATACGGGGTGTTCCATTAAAAAAAATAAAATTGCTAGGACTTTTTGATGGAAGTGGCAACGCCGTAATGCTGAAAATATTTTAGATCGATAGAACAGGTAAGGAAATGTGTGTCACGCTGTATAGTTGAAGGCTCTTGCAAGAGTGCAAAAAAACTATAGAGAATATACCTATTACTTCACTAGAAAAGAGATATTGGTCTTTTGTTGACATCTCAACAACAGTATCATAACTATCACTATTATCACTATCATTATTAATTATGACTATTATAGTTATTATTATTGCTTTCGTAATAAAAATAAGTAAAATAATCAAAGATTGAGAGAAAGAATTTTGCTCTACGAGGTACTCATCCCTGATCCTTGTTCTTGATGCATTCAATGGATGAACTCTTCCTTTCAACTAACCGCTCAGTTCGACATTCCCTTGAATAAGCCACATTGTATCACATATGAAGGTCCAGAGAAAATTTTCCACCTTTCCTGCTTGACAACAAACAGCGACATAGCACACAAAAAAACGTCTAAAAAGCAATGATATGAAAGATTAAGCAGTGATCGAAAATGAATTGAATTGTTACGGTAACACGGTTATGAAAAATGCTTACCTTTTGAGTGTCGAGTCTCTTAGCACATCAAAGACGCTTTTTTCACAGAAGATACCGATCCAAATTGGGCATATACCATACACCAGACATAACCATAAATAACACCAATAGGCACTTTGAATGACTTACCCTTTTCTTTCGTCATTTTAATGAACCCAGGTTTGTTGTGAGGATATGCAAGACTGGTAAAAACCACGTAGGGTTGGAAAAAATTATTTAGGCATTTTTTATAAATGAATATTACTGGAGTTTTTTCCCAACACCAAACCGTTATTTTATTACCTCGACACGTGTTTGGATCACCAAGCAATCATCTTCAAGAGGACGATCAAACTTATAAATAATTATTTGATCTTCAATTTTTGTCTCAACTAATTTCATGATAAAACTGACCGTTTTGCTGAAGATCGTGAAAAACCCGTTTTTATGAGCTTTGAACTCCAAGTAAATTTTTTCCAGGTATCGGATCGATGAGGATTTTTTAGATTTGATTTATGATAGTGTTTTGAAAAATCCTACCAACTTTGACCTTGGTACGAATTTTTGTACCCTCAGATGTCTAAACTCACCAGATAATACTACCTTAATACCACATTATTCTGTTATAATTATATCTTGAGTACAGGTAAAATATAGAAAGGTTCTGAATGGTACGAATTTTGTGCGCATTTGGAGGACGGAACTTACGACTTGTTATTGTTCATTCTTTGTACTTGTAACACCAGAAATTAAAAAAATGGGCCTGATTCACATCTCTGTTCGGCTACCTGATTTCTACCAGAACCCAGAACCGCAAACATATTTGTTTTCTGGGTTCTTCCTGTTGAATCAAAATAAAAAATTATAATTCCGTTTTCTAAGGCGTCGAAATTGATAAATATTTTCTGAACGGTTTGGATTTATATACAGGGTGTAACATGAGTACGTTAAAATATTCAAGTGACGTATTCCCGAGACAATTTTAAGAAAAAAAGTCTACATAAACTTGTGTCCGGAAATGCTTCGTTAATTCCCACACCTTTTCCAAATGAAAAAGGTACGATTCCTAAACAACGCTGGAAGTGATTGTTTTCGGGATATTCACAATTCTCTATATCGCTGCATATTTCTAAACTCCTAGGGCTCTAAGCGAAGTTGCTGGGAACATCACAAAAACTAAGTATTTGGTGGAACTCGTCAAAATAAACAACTTTTTTTTTTAAATGTTTATCGAAAAATCATTCGTTTTCGAGATACAAATTGTTGAAATTCTTCAAAATATGTTGGTTTTTGTCATAATTTTTTTGCAATGTTAGTTAATTGTATCTCGGAAACGAATGATTTTTCGATGAACATTTTAATGAGAAAATTTGTTAATTTTCACGAACTCCACTACATAATTAGTTTTTGTAATATTCTCAGCAGCCCTAGGTGTCAAGTAATATGCATCGATATAGAAAATCGTAAATATCTGAAAAAAGAAATGTACCCTTTTTACTTGGAAGAGGTGTGGGAATTAGGTTTTTTCATGAAAAGTACCAAAAGTTAGGCCAAAAAAGTTAGGGCAATTTGAAATAAATAATGACAGCGTACGCAGCGCTCTCTAGATGTTACACGAAAATTTATATGAAATTATGGTATCCCTCGTCAAAAAAACCCGGGTACCAAATTTCGTGCATTTGCAAAAGTTATTTTTAAAAAATCAACAAAAAAAATCAATTTCAACACCCTGCATCTCCGAAACGGAGCATTTCCGGACGCACGTTGAATATTTTAACATACTCATGTTACGTATATTGGACTAAATGGTAATATGTTGGAGCTATATTGTCTATATTATGTTTATGTTTTCGACAATGAGATATAGAAAGTATTTTATTATTAACATTCAGATTATTCAAAAAAAATGAATGAATAATCTCAACATGCTGCCTTCAGATATTCTAATTTTTAATTATTTCCTTTATACACATATTTGCAATTTTTATTCGAAAATAAAGTTACTGTGAAAATTTCAAGTATTTTGTTTCAAAGGTTGAAGAATTATTTTTATATAAGTCCAATTGCATCTACCAAGAGATGAAAATGCTGTTTGTTTGAATGGCAGAGCAACTAATTGATTCAGCCATGAAATATTTGAAATATTCAGAGAAATATATTTAGTTACTGAGTATTGAGAATTTGGTTTTATTTTCGTTTACTATTTGTATATACTCTGAATATTATATAAGTACAATATTCAAATATGGATTCCAATTTGAAGTTGTAAAATTAGTATTTACCATTTGAATAAGAAACTTCTGAAATGCTCAGTTCACTATATGAAATATATAACGAATCCGTCCAACTGTGTTGTGTTGATTTTTATGTAAATAAATAAGTATCTATTTTATCAACACGTTGTTTTTTATTTTTCCACTCCACTGATATCTGAAAATAATCATTGAGCTTTATTTTTCTTTGAGGACAAAGAATAAGAGAAACGGAACAAAAAAGTCTAATTTTGGTAAACTTGCAAGCCAAAAATATTTTTCATTGGCACAACTAACTTATCAAAAGATGACATCATAGCCCAAAATTGTTGACTATTTGATCATGAACAAGGGAGCTACTGAACTCTGGTACCATCTAGTTGCTTTTTAGCAGTGAAAACTATCGAAAGATTGACATCTGACCTCTTTCAGTCGAAAGTCAGCCTTTAAGTGATTTTACTTTCTGATCTGTTGCTGTGTAGAGGAAGGAGTGCTCATCTATTCATCTTTTCATTTTGATTTTGGCAACCTTAACCTCTCTTCATTGTGAGTTTTCCTAGAAACCTATATGTGGATTTAGTGTTCTGATGGCATTCCTAGAGAGATTCCTATATTTCTACTGATGCAGTTGTCGGTTTTGAAGATCAGTAATTTGGAGTATTTCATTAAGCACTTCCTATCTTTCAATTTAAATAAAACAAAGTTTATGTGAGATATCATCGATTTTTTTAATAGTTTGGAAGACCTTTTGATGCCATTACGTGCGGAATATATAGTTCATTCAGTATTGTCTGAGAATAAAAGAATTTCAAGAATGCAAACATCTGTATCTGTAGAGTAGGGAAGGTGAGTGTGAGCCCACGCACTTAGGGCACATGTGACCCATTGTACATCCTCCCGAGGAGTTGTCCTCCTAGGTCGTCATCCATCCTGTCCTTTCCAGGAAGGTGGACAGGTCGCTGGGAGACATCTCCTTTATATCGGCAGGTGTAGGCCAAGACTCGCCGAACACACACTCTCTTATTGACGATAACTCCGGGCACTCGCACAGGACATGCCTGACAGTCGCATCTTCACAGCTGTCCTAGGTTGCTGGTTGCTTGGTAAGCTGAAAATTTGACCAGTTAAACTACTGAAACCAGTAATTTTGGTCTTTATTATCCAGGGCTCCTGGATCAAAGCTATTGCCTCCTCCAATACATCAAGGTGGCGACATAGTGTTGCCGCTGCCGCCTTTTTGTGTTGGAGGTTGCATTGTATTATTTTTACATTTTTTCCAACGTCCTTGCCCATGAGACAGT